GGGGAAGAGAGACTTACAGTTGTTTATGAAGAGAGACTTACAGTTGTTTATGATGTGGGTTTACATGGATTGAATGGTGTCTCCTAAAATTTATGAAACATGTAGGAAATTCCTGAAAAAATTTGAGAATGAGCCAATCAATCCTGCCTTCTGACTCTACTGTTACCAAGTATTTCTAACACTGTTGCTAAAATGACCTGGAAACAAAAAGGCTATAGAGGAAGAATACTTTGCCCTTATAAAGCGGCTTTGAGTCTAAGAGAGTAGAGTATTACTCCAGTAAATTCAAACGTAAGTTTTTTGGTGTGTGGCATCAAAAATTTGGCACCTGTTCGGTAAACTTGCACGTCTGTGGAAAAGAAAACAGAGAGTGACTTGTACGCAGGACAAAGATGACCGACAACATCAAGTGGTCCCCAGCAGGGAGGCTCGGGGATGCAAGGATGCCACCTGGGTGAATAAGAGATGTTGTCATGGAAGCCACATCACCCATCCAGCCTCTACTCTGTTTTTATTTTAAGACCTATGTTTCTTTGGGAAAGGTAGCCCTAGGATTAATGTAATTGGATCTTTACTGCTAACAGTAGCTAACAGGGACTTGATACTCACAGTGGGCTGTGCACTGTTCTGAGTGCTTTTCCTGTATTAAGTCATATAATCCTTACAACTCTCTGAAAATGCTCTATTTTTTCTCTCCTAATTTTTTAATTTTAATTTTTTTCTCTTAATTTTGAGACAGGGAAGATCTGGGTACAGAGAAGAGAGTAACTCAACTCAGAGTCACACAGCGTGTTAGTAGTAGCATTGAGATAGAGTCTGGCTTCAGAATTTGAACCACCGCCCTACGTACGCCTCCCCAGTCATTTCATTTTGTTAAAAATAGCACCTCCTTCTCTTACCTTGAAGCAGCGACTTGCGCTGAGAAATGATGTGAGGGCTGCAGCCTTACAAACAGACTGAAGGTGTCACAAAAAGAAGGCTACCAAAAGAATGAAGTGGGACTCGTACCTCAAATCGTTTAAAAATATTCACTCAAAACTTAAATGTAAGAGCTAAAGCTATAAAACTCTTAGAAGAAAACAGGCATAAATCTTTGTGACCTTGGATTAGGTGGTGGCTTTATATATGACACCAAGAGCACAACAACAGAGGAAGAAGTAAATTGGATTCCATCAAACTTTAAAAACTTGTGTGCTTCAAAGGGCATATTCTCAAGAAAACGAAAAGACAACTCACAATATGTGAGAAAATATTTGCAAATTATATATCTGACAAATGATTTGTATCCAGAATATATAAAGAACTGTCACAGCTCAGTCATTAAAAGACAAATAACCCAGTTAAAATTGGGCAAAAGATTTGAATAGACATTTCTCCACAGAAGATATACAAAGGGCCAATAAGCATAAGAAAAGAAGCTTAGTTTTTAGGGAGATGCACATCAAAACCACAAGGAGATACCACTTCACACCTGCTGGAATATGCTTAGTCAAAAAAGATGGACAGTAATAAGTGTCGGTGAAGATATGAAGAAATTAGAACCCACACAGAATACTAGTAGGAATGTAAAAACAGTGCAGCTACTTTGGAAAACGGTCTGGCAGTTCCTCAAAAAGTTAAACAGAGAGTTACCATATGATCCAATAGTTCTACCCCTTGTCATATACCCAAGAGAATCAAAAACATACATTCACACAAAAACTTGTCCATGAATGTTCATAGCAGCATTATTCATAATAGCCAGAAAGTGGAAACAGTCTATCAAAAAAAGGTGAATTCATCAAAAAGTGGAAATATCCGTCGAATGATGAATGGATAAACAAAATACAGTATATACAGTGGAACGTTATTCAGCACGAAAAAGGAATGAAGTACTGATACATGGTGTCACAGGATGAGCCTTGAAAACATTAAGCTAAATGAAAGAAGCCAGTCACCAAAGGCCGTGTATTGTATGGTGCCATACAATGGAAATGTCCAGGACAGGCAAATCCATAGAGACAGATTCGTCCTTGGTATTGACTCTTGGGAAAAGGGGAGAATGGGGAATGACTGCTGATGGGTACAGGGTTTCTTTTAGGGGTGATGAGAAAGTTCTGGAATTATATACAGATGGCTTTTTGAGAAGGTACTAAAAACCACTGGATTTTGCCCTCTAGAAAGGTGGATTTTATGGCATGAGAATTATACCTCAATGTATATACATATATTTATATATATATGTATATATATATATATATATATATATATACACTGAAAAAACAAACAAAAAAGAAAGCTATATCTGCTCTTCTGGAAAAAGCTGGAAACAAAGTCTCTATTGACCATTCAAAAAGCACATTAGGAAATTTTACCAGCTTCATTTGGAAAATAGGAACCAAGGGAAACTGGGATCCAGCTCCTCCCCAAATGAGTTTCCTTCTCTTTACTTTTGCTTCTCCTCACTCCCTCTCTCAAACTTAGCAGTTGGAAGAAATGACTAGTTCAGTGGGGAGAAAAAAAGATGATGCTTCTGTTTCAATCTCAAGGTCAGTGTTCCATGTCATGACCTGTCAAACACTCCAGAGGTTCCAAAATGTATTACAAAACAACAATTTACAATGTTGACGTTCTCTTCACTGCCTTTATTAGTCTTGTGCTGTGCTGTGCTTTTCTCTGGCTGTGCTGGGTTTTGTTGTTTGTTTGATTTTGTTACTTCTGCTTATTTATTTTGACAGAGAGAATCCTCACAGTGAGCCAAGTACAGCCCACTGAGACCTAACTGTGGAGGATACACGGGGTCATTGTTTCAGAAACTTTGTTGTTTCTGGTTAATATGCACGGGGCTCATCTGATATTGGGCTCTTAGCCCACTGTCAGCCTTAATCCCAGCATGTCCTTCTTTCATGCTGTTCCTTAGAGATGGGGATCAAGTGGGACTTTGAGCACAAGCTTTTTTAAAAAAAATTGAGATGTAATTGACATGTAACATTGTATTTAGTTTCAGTGAGCAACATAATGATTTGATATTTGTATATATTGTGAAATGATCACCATAATAAGTTTAGTTAACATCTGTCACCACATATAGTTACACATTTTTTTTTCTTGTGATGAGAACTTTTAAGATTAATTCTGTTAGCACCTTTCAAATATACACTGCAGTGTTATTAGCTATAGCCAACATGCTGTTCATTACATCCCCAGAACCTCTTTGTCTTAAACTGGAAGTTTGCACCTTTGGACCTTCTTCACCCATTTTACCCCCTCCTTACCCCCACTTCTAGCAACCACCAATCTGTTCTCTGTATCTATGGGTTCAGTTTTTTTTAGATTCCACATATAAGTGAGATCATACGGTATTTGTTTTTGCCTGTCTGACTTATTTCACTTAGCATAATGCCCACAAGGCCCATCCATATTGCAAACGGCAGGATTTTCTTTTTCATGGCCGAATAATATTCTATTGTATATGTACATCACATTTTCTTTATCCATTCATCTGTCAGTAGAACTGAGGTTGCTTCCATGTTTTGACTGTTGTGAAAAATGATGCAATGAGCAGGACCAGCTTCTCTTTTTCCTGCTTTTCCCCCCAGTATTATGTTTCCATCCTTCATTTACATTTTCACTTTTGTCATGCTTTTTTCTTCTTTTTAAACATTCCTGGGCTAAATTGAAACTTGGAAAAAGTGTTGATAGTGTTCTTTGTCTCCCTGGACTCTGCTTTTGCTGCCCCATTTCCATCCTGAAATTTCTTTTCCAGATAATCATTCCTTTTACATTTTTACTAATTAATTACCCTGACGGTAGAATTTTACCCCCCTCTACTTTCCTTGATTCTTAGCTGTCCTGTGTTCCATCTCTTAGGACCCAGTTTAAAGACTAAATTTCACCTGATAAAGTCAAAATGGAAATTTTCTAGTTCCATTGTTATTTCTGCATTTTTGAATTTTTCATCATCAATTATTTGGTTATCCTGAATAGTTTGAAAAGAAAAAAACAGGATACATTATTCAGCCTTGCCTTTTATTTATCAGTTGTCAGAATGATGAATTGGGGCCCTAGCCTCTTTTACTGGTGGTCACCAGTGAACTGTTCTCTACTGTTTTGGGGGAGGAGGTGGGAGGACATCTTATCAACTTATTATAAACTCATGGCCTTTATAGATTTGATGTGTTTGTATCAGTTGCAGTCATTCCTTTCGATATTCAGATTGTTCCAACTTCGGCCAGTGGAGGCTTCTTCTAAATGCTTGTATGTCTTTTTGTTTTTGTTTTGTTTTGTTTTGCGGTATGTGGGCCTCTCACTGTTGTGGCCTCTCCCGTTGCGGAGCACAGGCTCTGGACGCGCAGCCTCAGCGGCCATGGCTCACGGGCCCAGCCGCTCCGCGGCATGTGGGATCTTCCCGGACTGGGGCACGAACCCGTGTCCCCAGCATCGGCAGGTGGACTCTCAACCGCTGCGCCACCAGGGAAGCCCTTGTATGTCTTCTTGACGCTCAGCCCTGTCAGTCTGAGCCACTGACTTCTAGGCAGCACTTTCCACCTCGTTAAGTAATTGGATTAGTTGGTCTTTAAGATTTCCTTTAGTTCTAGCTTCCCTTCCAAAAAAGCCAATTTTAGTAGCCTACAATAAACTCTTTTATGCTGGAAATATACTATTCTGATTTTTTTTCCCTTTTGAGTTCACACAGTGGGTGAATTAATGCATTGGAAAATATGAAATATTTTTGTTCCTCCCCTCAGATCTTTTAGCTCCCACTTATGTGACACTGGCTCAGGACAATTCCACACTCTGAGGCCAGTATCTAGGCAGAAAACAAAACAGAACAAACGATATAAACATTTCTATACCTAAGGCTGTAGTGAGGCTTACCAAGGAAGTGCCTGATTTTGAAGACGGATTGTTTTCAAAATATACCAGTGTTATCGTTGTTGTTATTCCAAACGTGGTATCTTTCTCACCTTCTAGCTGGGGCACCACGCAGGAAGAATGGATAGCTGCATTTTATCCCATAGCCCTGGTAAGGCAGAATGGGGAGATAAGGGGGGCTTGAAGCACCCCAGTGAGCTGTTCAGGGAGTGCAGAAGGCTGCAAAGCCAGCCGGATCTTGCCAGGTGGCTGCAGAGAGTCAGTCCCAGTCCCTACAAGCCAGGAGCTGGAGCCCGTCCATCCAGGCAGAGCCTGAACCAGATCCAGGCAGCTGGGCCAAGTCCCCGAGGCTGTCCCTGGGACCAGAAGGTATAACTAGAGGGAAGCATGGATTTAAATTCCAGGGCATAAGACAAAAGCTCATCATATCTGAGGAGAAGGAGCTGAAAATGACTTTTTTTTTTTTTTTGCGGTACACGGGCCTCTCACTGTTGTGGCCTCTCCCGTTGCGGAGCACAGGCTCCGGACGCGCAGGCTCAGCGGCCACGGCTCACGGGCCCAGCCGCTCCGCGGCATGTGGGATCTTCCCGGACCGGGGCACGAACCCGCATCCCCTGCATCGGCAGGCGGACTCTCAACCACTGCGCCACCAGGGAAGCCCTGAAAATGACTTTTTAAAATAAATGCTGGAAGGACACTGTCTCATACTGAACCGCCTATAATAAAACTTAAGAAGTACCTGATTTTTGTTTCTGTCTGTGCCCTGTGGAGCACATGTGACTTCAAAGCAACTCTGCAGGGTGCAGGGAGAAAAGAGCATGCTTTTATTTCTAATTTTGGCACAAATCCCCCAAACTCTTTTTGATGGCTAGGAAACAAAACTTATATTCCATCTAGATTCACTTGCATTTAGCAGGACCACCTTAGTTTTCTTACAGTGACAGTTTCTACTTCTTTAACCTGTGCATTCTCCCTACTTTGAGGCTTTATTTTATAGGAAAAGGGCAAGGGTGACACTAGATGATTTCAAGTGAAGCCTGGGACAGCCTGGTTCGTCAGTCACCCCCCTCCTGGAGTTCTTTCTTCCCGCCATAATGTGTCTTCAGAATTTAAAACAGTGGTTTATAAGACTGTTTAAAACTAATGAAACACCCTTTTAATAGGAGTCTTAGGTTGTGAAAAGAAGTCCTGGTTTCATTTCAGTCTGATGGGACACCTTATTGATGAGCGAATTATAGCTTCAACCTAATGCATGTGTATGACGTGTGTGTGTATGTGTAAGCTTCTTGAGACCCAGAGATTCCATTACTTCCAGAAATTAGAGGCATCAAGGATTTTTCCAACGACTCCGTCTCTCCCTTTACCAACACAAGATGGTTCTTTCAGGCATGTTTTTGGGGCGAGTCTTCTTTGTGGCCTCTTTGCCCTGCCTTCCCCCCAGCTACTCCTCCACAGCGCGGCTTCAGTGCAGACTGATTCAGGCTCTGCTGTTTTTAATTTCTTTTGGCCTATTTATTTCTGATCAGTTTTTATTACTCTTTCACTGTTCGGTTTGAAACTCTGGATCCTGATATAGTTGGGCGGTGGTTCTGCTTGACTTAAAGAGTGATCCTAATGAGCCACAAGTGGTTGTTTTTAGGTGCCATGAGGGTCTTGTGACTTCTCAGGAAGAAACTGCCTCTCTGTGGCCCTGGTCTGATTATTACAAGTCAGCAAATGAAGGGCAAGATATTATTAGGTCCGATAGCTTTGGTATTATACTTTTTTTAATCCCTTTATTAATAACTCATTGTTCTTTTTTCTAATCATTGTTAGTGATGTTGCCTTAAATTATAAAGACCAGTGCTACAGTAATGATAGTAGTTATATCAATGTGCTAATCCATCTTCATCCTCCACTGAAATAGAACCTTCTCTGAAGAGTTAGGTTATGAGTAGAATGAATATATGTTGGTCTAATAAGCAATATTATGATCTAAAAGCATTTGTTAAAGGACCAAATATAGAAGGCATTTTATGAAATTCTGTAAATACCAAGAGGCATTTGTCATTTGCATATATTGTCTACCTTCTCTGTGTAAAAAATTGCATAAAATGGTACCAGTGAACACACACACACACGCACATACATAAGCGTGGAGATCTCCCTCAAAGAGTTTATTGGTATATTCCAGTAAAGAGGAAAAAAAACTTACATGAAACATTTATTGAATAACACAAGGAAACTTAAGCCTAAATGTTCAGTTGATGGAGGCTGGATATATATAAAATTATCAGAATTCATAGAAGGGAGACTGTCGTGTATGTAAGTTCGAGATGCCATGTGGAAGAGAAGAATTGGGATAATTTGTATACTGGGGGTGAGGGAGAAATTTAGGCAGGTGGTGAGGATTTATGGGCCACTGGGAAGGCCAGGATAACTTGGACTGAGAGCTTGTGTACGCAAGAGATTTAGTGAACTTTTTACCAGTAGTTTCAGTGTATGAATGAAGTTGATGATAGTGAACTTTACAAATATGAAGTTTTATCTATAGATATGAAGTAAGTAGCAATTATACTCAAGCATTTTACTACTCGTTTAAGTAGTTTAGACTGTTTCCCAAAGTCAAAAGGAAACTATCAAATTATAAGCGCTTGTATTAGCAACTACAGTGGAACACCCTAAAATGACTCAAGACACAGGTTTATCTTTTTTTTTTTTTTTTTTTGTGGTACGCGGGCCTCTCACTGTTGTGGCCTCTCCCTTTGCAGAGCACAGGCTTCAGACGCGCAGGCTCAGTGGCCATGGCTCACGGGCCCAGCCGCTCCGCGGCATGTGGGATCTTCCCGGACCAGGGCACGAACCCGTGTCCCCTGCGTCGGCAGGCAGACTCTCAACCACTGCACCACCAGGGCAGCCCCACAGGTTTATCTTTGACCTTGCACAAGATGGTTACAATACTGTACGATCTACAAGAGTGAGGACCTTGTCTTATTGAGCTTTGTGTCTCCCAAGCGGTGCATCTTAGCACAGTACCTTGCACAGGGTGAATTTTTAGTAGTTTTCATTGAATGAATGCATTAATATAAAGACATTCTTTGGTGTTGGCCTCAAAAAGGCATTATAAATGACACTTCAGAGCACCCTTAGAAGGTAGACTTCATTGTCCAGGAAATGTGTGTCGGTAAAGTCCCACTGCTACTAAGTTTTTCATAAATGTCTTGGGGTGGTTATTAAAACCGGCCAAAATGATTTTATTGAGTATCTTCTATGACTCCAGTAACAGAACGTATGTGAGACTTGATTCTTGACATTACAGAAATTATGAATAAGAATATTCATTGGGGAAAAATTAGAAAATCAGAAGACAGTATACAGGGCAGAAATACTGGAGGGGAGTATAGGTGGATCTCTTCACTGCTGCTCTTTTCTTCTTTTCTCATTTCCTTAGGAAATTGATCTATGTGATATTTTCAACTGATATCTCTATCGATGACTCAGTTTGATATGTTCTGGATTTCATACCTGGACACTGAGAATTTTTCCATCATCTCAGACCTCATATCTCTAAACCTAACCAGATTAAGTTCCTGTTCCTTTTTCTATAATAGCACTGTTCTAATCACCCAGGCTCAAAGTCATTGGTTATTTCTGTGTGTACATATTTCCTTATGCTTAGCAGTTGCCATTGCCACTCTATTCTGGATTGTGAGTAGATCAAGAGAAAAGAAGAGATTTTTAATCAAGTCAGCCCATATATGCAGGGAAAGTGTGGTGGACAGAAGGAAATAAAGTAATGTTCTTGGGACTCTAATGGAAGACATAGGTGGTGGAGCTTTGACTTAATGGTGCTGAGAAAGGTCTGTTTCAGGGCAAGAGAAACAGTGGGAGAAATCCTCACATTCTTTGGCCTGAAACATGTTACCTGTTAACTTGCTTAATATTGGTATATCAAATTTTGATTAGTAGAATTTTGCTTTAAATATTTTAGAAAATCTTAGTATTGAAAGGAAGTCTATTATTAAATTTGCATTTTTCTACTACTGTGTTTTTCTGGCGTACTGAGAGCCTTACATGCAAAACACATTGATTCTTCGCTCCATGGTTTCTGGGCCGTCTTACGTGTAGCTGATGATTAGTGGCATGAACTGTCATGTGTCCTAGGCTGTCTCTTGCTGGTGGTATTTAAACAGAGATGGCATTGCTGTTTCAGATACTGAAGACATGAGCCTGGCATTGGGTAGGAGATTGGACTAGCTCTCTGTGACCCCTTCTAAGATTAAGATTTTATCCTTGGGCTTCCCTGATGGCACAGTGGTTGAGAGTCTGCCTGCCGATGTAGGGTACACGGGTTCGTGCCCCGGTCCGGGAAGATCCCACATGCCGCGGAGCGGCTGGGCCCGTGAGCCATGGCCGCTGAGCCATGGCCGCTGAGCCTGCGCGTCTGGAGCCTGTGCTCCGCAACGGGAGAGGCCACAACAGTGAGAGGCCCGCGTACCACACACACACAAAAAGAGATTTTATCCTTTTACAGTGATTCATAAGAGAATTATTTGGTAATTTATATCTGTTATATAATATATTGGCAATAAACATGCATTGGTTTTGGCTTTCTCTATAGCACCTGGGAAAGTATAAGGTTAAACACCTACCAATGACGTCCAAGAGTGACACCATTGGCAGAGTGTTCATGGATTACACTGTAAATGTTGAATTAAAGAAAAATACTCTTTTGACTTTGCTGACATGGAACTCGGTGGTAGGTGCTGAACCTTGGAAGCACCGAGTTTAGCATTTTTGTGGCATTAAGGTGGTCTGCAGACAATTAGCCTGACCAAGTTTATAAAGATATATAGTTATAAAGGCTCAGGGTATCTCTTCATAAGAAAGGTAGAAGGGGGTAGAAAGAAATACCTTTTCCTTCTTTGAACAGAAGCCATGCAAGACAAGGGATGAAAGCATGTGACTTTGGGGTGCTTGATCTCTACTGTAAAAAAACGTTTCAGAGCCAAGCACACTTTAGGAATGATCTCCTGGGTTTCTCAGCCGTGTCCAATTTTCTTAGTCTGATACTTTCAGAGGTTCTCCCCCTGCTTCAGGGAGGAAGCTAGAGGTTATTGTATGAAGCTTGAAAAGATGTGGTTCCTTTAGATCCTTTGCCAGTATTCCATCATCATCTTGAAACAAAGAACATGGTAAACATCCACAGCTTACACAGTGGAAGAATTCCTTTGAACCAGATTGACCACGGAGAAAGTATCTCCATAGCAGCAGATGCAGAGCGGTGTGTATCTAGCACTAGCCCCAGACTTCACTCAGGTGTGTGCCCTTCCTCTGGAGTGCTTTGGTCTCTCCAGCGAGCACATTCATTCTTGTTCTAACCCTCTCACATGGGTGGTCCTCGATGCTTTGGCGATCACAAAGTATTTTCGAAGAGTGCCAGTTAATAAATGTAGAAGGAATGATGGAAGAG